GCTAACGTATCAACTAGAACCACCACTCAGTTAGTCCAAATTAGGGGCCTAGTTTGATGAGCTGGCTTCTTTTGAGCAAAGCTAAGAATTCATATTTCTCTTTTCTTTTTTTTTTTTTTTTTTGATTGGTGATCAAATACTAATTTTTTTTTCTTGTATACATGGCTTGCAAAATGCTCTAATTTAGTATAGGTGTAGAGGTGTAAAGTGGATCGTTGCAGGCCACCTGCACTATAAAAGGCCGTGCTTACCTAGTTTGGAATCCCTCAAAAGGGAAAGACAAACACAGCCTGCAGCCCGAGACCAGGCAGGCCTGTTCCATGGGCCCTTGGTCATACTGGGTCATGGGCTTGTTCCCTTTTTTGTTTACTTTTTTTTTTTTTTGCTAGTTATAAAATAACAAAAATTTTGGAAAATAAACACTTACCAAAATAAACAAAAAATTGAAAATAAAATTTCAAAAAATTTATTCCATTTGAATTTAATGTATACAATTGATCATATATGAAGTAATAAAATTGAATTAAAAAATACAATGGAATTGGAATAAATAGTATAACAAAATTGAAAATGAAAATTTACAATGGGATTGAAAAATTCACAAATAACTTTTAAATAAAATTAAAAAAATATAATAATTTTAAAAATATTATATAATTATTGAATATTCAAAAAATTATAACTTCAATATTTTCTTTTAGTTCCACCTCCTCCATCTCCTCGATCTTGATCTTCATCATCTAGTGAACCATAACTTGAAGTRCTATGTCCTTGATCTTGTAGTTTGTCATCTACATTTAGCCAATCCTTCAAACATATGTATATTTTCATAATTTCATCATTTATACAACTTTTCTTGTTATACCCTAGTATTTACACTAAAACAAGACGATGGAAATGTGGACACTAGAGGGGTTAGTAGATCATATGCCATGGTAGTATATCTATCTATCTATCTATCACTCACACCCAAAGACATAGAGCTGTAAAGTAAATATGATATATAATATACAATATATATTATATTATATAATTATATAACATATTTTATAAATATGTTATATTTCATATAATAAAATGTTATCTATATTATTTGTAATGTATTGTAATAGGCCCAAAGCCTAGCGGGGCCTTTAATACTTGGACTTGGACTTATATTTCAAGCCTAGGGTTTAGGTTGGGCTTGGGCTATAGCCTTTATCATATGTTCTAAGCTACCCCTACATTACATTGAGGCTTTGTTTGCATTTCGAGAAATTATTTACTAGGGTAAATGCACTTACCCTGGTAAGTGCTTCTTGGAAAATACTCTGCTACGTAAGTGCATTTACTCATGTTCTTTCATTTCTCAAGTAAATATGATAATGACCATTTTATCCATAATAATCCATTATTAAAAGGGTAATTTTGTTCCATCCAAGTGTTGACAACTTTCTCCCCTTAGGTAGGAAAGTTACTTATCCATRGGTATCACTTACCCCAGGAAAAATAAATTTTCTGTAGATCCCACATAAATCTGAAAAAAGAATATGGGTATCTTGGTCAGTAAGATCAAAATCCCATTGACTATCCCCCCTCAAAATCCCAAAAAAAAAGCAAAACAAACAAACAGGCCCTGAGTAATTGTGTCTCAAAAAGTGAACTGTAATACACTCTTCTTATTTTCACTCATATATTTGTATTAATGCAAATAAAATTGAACTACTTGGAAAATAGCCTTCACAACTTATATTCCTTGTATGAGGTCAAAAACATCACGCTTATAGCCTGTAATCATGTAACATCATCATAGGTTGCATTAAATTCTTGCCCACAGTAAGGGTGCAACTTGGGTAGCATTTGTTAAATTTTGAATGTCACATAGACAGTTACAAATTGCAATGATGGGTTGGATGAGTTTGGATCTCCTTTGCTTAACGCTTTGTACTAAATTGTACACCTGAGAATTCATCAAAACTCATGGGGCGGTTTTGATTGGTTAAAGTCTAAATTGTGGGAGATTGAGATTCGGGTTGGGTTAGTTTTTTTTTCCAACTTGATTTTGTGGAGATAAAACTGATTGGCCTTGACAAAGAACATGGAAGCATGGCTTCGTACATTTTTCATATTCTGCTACAGCACCTAAAGATTTATAGCCCCCTAATTCCAAATCCACTCTAACCCAAATGTAATCTTAGGGTTATTTATCAACTGCCACACCAATAAATTCATAATTTTTTTTATAATATGGGGGCATTTTTGCTTTCAAAAATGAAATCATACAAAATTAGAGAACATCCCATAAATGTATGGTAAAATTTCCATTATAATTGGGCCCAATTTCTTGTGTTAAGGAAATGGGTGCATGATTCATAGACCAAACTTATGGAGGACGCCATTATCATCATCATTGTCATCCCTTGTCATCAAGAATAATGAAACCAAGGTTTTAAATATTGATATCAAGCTGCACTTATTCTTTTTTTTGGTTTTTTTTTTAAATTGATTGGAAGGATTGATTTAAAGTTATCTACTCTCTAAACCAGGTCAGACCCTGAAATACCCACTGTAGAGATGTATCGAAGGTCACCGATACGTATTGACTGATACACCTTGATACGTTTTAATATTTAGAACATTGGGCGAAACCCATCAAACTAAACGGGAGGTCTAAAAAATATGAGGTAGAACAGAAGAATAAGAAATTGTCTCTATCTAACTAGAGTAAAGGATAATGCCCCATAGGTATACTTACATAGGGAATGGCACCCATCACTCTGTTGGAATTTGACTCAACGTTTGATTAGAAATGGATGGTTGATGTGGCATTTCATGCACTGTAGATTCTTCTAGGTGGGGCCTATCCAGGGCAGGCTACCGACAAGGGACTACTGGCACAAAAGCAGGGAGTGAGGAAGGAAAAAGGAGCACCCTTAACTGGTTGGGTCACTTGAAATTATGATGACTTGACCTAGAATTGTTTTGTATATAAGTACATGGATTTCCTTCACAGATTATTGGTGGACGACAAGAATGGAAAAGGTTGTTCGCCCCATCAATACCATTGATGTGGCATACGGCAAAGAGCATGGAACTCGTCATTTTTTGTGTCTCATGAAAATGATTTTTACGTCACCTCATTGGATTGACTTAGGCTTGGTTTAAAGCAAAAGGTATAAAAAGGAAGGGAAAGGTAGGGAAAACCTATATACAAGGTTTGTAAAGGTTTTTTTACYTTTTTCTTCCTTTCCCTACTTTTTCCTTCAAACCAAACACAGTTTTACTTATAATGGTAGAGTCATCTACTCCTCACAGGTACATCCCASRGGAACATCTCCCGTACTTTTGTGTTATTATTCATGGGAGATGTTCCCAAACGGTGAACAGATCCCAATTCATAATGGTGGCATGGTGTATGTACTATGCAACTATACCTAAGAATTCTAAAAGGAACTTTAGTCCAATCTTATCATATCTACGGTAGTATTCACCATTACAATCAGATTAGACCACCTTAATTTTCTTGTTAGATCACCATATAAAAGAGTAGGGAATGGACCACATGTATCAGTAAGTTCATTACTTCTAATAATACCCTTTTTCTTAGACTTGGTTAATTTTTCTTTAATATAATCAATGCTAACACCAAAGTCGAAGTTATCAAGGATGAACCAACCTCTAATATTTTTTATACAGATATGGCATAAATATTTGTGCAACTACATAGAAAGTTGAATATTCACAAGACTACATTTAGTACCAATATTTAGAGAAAGAAGAAACAAGGTATACGTGGAATAATCAAGATCTAAAAGACAAAAACCATCAATTTAAGAATTAAAACCAACCAGCTGAGAATTATAAATTAAGCTTATGATTTTATTACTAAAACAAAATTTAAAACCCAATTAGTATAATTTGAAAACTAGAATTAAACGAATAAGTTCAATAGCTTCAACTAAAGAGTTTACCCCATTTCCTATGGTGATGATCTTTTGATCCCCCACTGGTTTTAGGGAATTTCTCGTACAAAATTACAAAATGGAAATAGTGACTTCTGTCTTGACTTTGATCCAACTCGGTGCAGGTTTTGAGGAGAGTATGGATCGAGAGGTTTGGAGAGACGAAGAGATACAGAATTTATAAATTTTTTTCCAAAAAGCCATACCAACATGATCTGAGTTTGCACATCTCGTACATGATGTGAAATGTAGACATAGATCATATTGGAACGTGATGCTACATAACATGTTGTGAAACTGTTATTTTTTTCTGAGGCTCAGTTTGGAAGGAATATAAATATAAATATGTACAACAGTGCAAAACCTTGAATTTTATATTATTTTGTTTGTATTTTTACTGTACATATTTATACTTGTACTCTTTCAAAACTGAACTAACGATAATGGAGTACTTCAACCCTTTGCGCGCATTGAGATAGAGATCATATTCTCATCTTAAATTGAATTAATTCCAGCGACAGCGTATACCACCTTTCAATAAAAGTTTTCTCCATTCAATCCAATGATGGCTATGCTCATAATCTCTCCCCCAAGATAATTTCGAAAATTTAGACTCGGTTTTGTTGAAACTGACTCGTTATCGTCAACCCAGACTAAAAGAATTGTTGAATAAGGATCGTCTCCTCAGCAGTGTCTGTTTCTATCCTCCTATTTTCTAATTCTATAAATGCGCTCAAAAGTGATTTTAGCTAGACTTGGAAGTCTCCCTTTGTAATAAAACTATAAGAGGTACTCCATTTTCGGAAATATTTATTTACCCAGAGCCAGAGAAAATTCTGTGTGAAACCCGCGACAGCCTAGCTAACCTGCTAATGCTTCTCAAGAGGAAAAACCTTTTTTTCGCCTCTATCGACTCCTCGACCTGATTCGGGTCTTATTATTCTACTCYAAAGGTTTTCCTATCAGAGAGAAAGAAGTTACAATATGTCAATATGTAACTAAGTAACTAACGAATAGAAATTTATCCATTTTAGACAATAAAATTGTTGCAAGCACAGCTTCAAGGCTGAAATGAAAGCCAGCAGTTTCGAATTAGCAGCATATGAAGTTACAGAAACCATGCAATAGTGCGTGCAGTGAGTCTGGTTTTATCGAACCAATCATGAAACTATACAACCAATAGAAATTGTACTTACCTAATTAATTACACTTTACACACCACTCTTCTTGACTGATGGAGGCCAAGACAACCTCCTCTGGCTCAAGCCGTCCGGGTGATGAGAATAACCCACCTCACTACTCTCGTATTCTGCTTCTTGTCTCTCCAACTCTTGTCTCCTCCGGCTATTAATAACCAAGTCATCAAAGCTTGGTTCCTCTCTCCAAGGAGGTGGAGTCACACAGTCAGAGTCTCCTACTCCTTGAGAAATATCCCTGCTGGGTGTAGAAGGCAATAGGGAAGAAGAATTACCCACTCGCAAATTTTGCAGTGTTGCAAATGTTTCCCTCATAGCAGACATGGCTTCAAAGAATCGGGTACATGACGCTAGAGCAACAGGAATTGGTCGGAGCATTTCCTTTATCAACCCAACCAGACAAAAAACAGTAAATATATAAATGCCAATGCGTACAAAAACTTTATTGTGAGTTTTTTCTATTACTAGTCTACAGCTATAGGTGCAAGTAATATACAGGGAGCGCTACTCATCATGGTCGGTCCTACCAATTTGTGGAAACCTATGGTTGCTTTCCGGAAATAAGAATTTGGTAATTCTGGACCAAGCCATAAAATTGACACCAATGACTGAAATGTGGTAGAATTGAAGTATATTTAAGGAGCTGAATGAACAAAATAAATGCGATTCCTAATTTTAATACTCAATTCATTTTTCTATGTTGTAAAAATTATTCTATTGCCAGATTGGTCAATGTGCACACTAAAAGAAAAGGGAAAAAACATAAAAAGGATATCTATGTAAATCTTTGCAAGACAATAGCAAATGCAGATGAAAAAACATACCCCCCATATAGATGGTGGCTCCCTGAAGTTCTGGCTCCACTGAAAATCTGTGACAGATGCTGTCAAGGCCCCATAATCACTTGCAGCCTTAAGCAACAGTTCTGAAAATTGTTTCTGCATTGACAGAAACAAACAATGTCAGTACCTACAAGTTCGCCTGAAATTAGGATATATCACTGCAGCCTTTATATAACTTTAAGGTGCCATCAACTGGACTGTACAGACTGTACAAAATACCTAAAAATATTGACTCATTTACTGAGCCCAAATATGATTTTTTTTTTCATCAGTGCCCAAATATGATATTTATTGTGTCAAATATTAACTAACTAGATGATATTTCTAGCCATCTGAAACATGATTTGTTTTGCTGAGCCAAACAATTGGGATAAGGAATTGTGTCAAATATTAACTAACTAGATGATATTTCTAGCCATCTGAAACATGATTTGTTTTGCTGAGCCAAACAATTGGGATAAGGTTATATTTCGCTGTTTCTGTGAATACCAAAACTCAAACCTAGGTCTCTTGGGTAACAACTGAACCATTGTTGCCACCAAGGATGGACAAAAATGGTATAGCAGCAAGCTGAAAATTGTTAAACGTGAATAAATTTTTTGTTGTCAAAGGATCAGGAAGTTTCACACATACTGTTAAAAAAAACTGATAGCACAAGAATTTGGCTAATATGAGTATTTTTCTCATTTCAAAATTAATCAGACCATGATACAAGTTTTGATCTTTCTCATGCCTGATATTCTGCTTCCACTGGAATGCAATCTAGTGAATATGGTTGTTGAAGTCGAGCAATGATGCGATCCTGCAAAATAGAATAACATATCAAATAATTCATAGCAAATAGCCATTTCATTTACAAGATTGAAGAGAACGAAAATAGAAATGATAGACAAAAGAGAAAAAAATAAATAAAGAACAAAATCAAATATAAGAGAAGGTAAAAAATATTATTTCAAAAAAAATGATAAAAGTATTACTGACAGGGAAAAGAAATTGTGATTTACGAGTCTGTAGAATGTGAGAGCATACTAATAGTTTATTTAGATCAAATGTATAAAAAGAAAACAACATATAGCCCCTACACAAAAAAGGTACTTCACTCTTTTGGTAAATAAGAGGAAAAGAGTTAGGGTCCGTTTGGTTTGCTGGAATAGGGGTCTGAAATCGGAATCGGAATGGGCTATTCCGATTCCAACTGTTTGGTTGGGTGGAATTGGAATCCCATTCCTATTCCTGCTGGAATGGCATTCCCCCATTTGAGGGAATGGCCATTCCCTGCCCCTCCCTTGGGAATGAAATCCCATTCCTGCTGATTTTAATTTCCATTCCCATTCCTGTCTGAACCAAACAGACTCTAGGAATGGACCATTCTGATTCTGATTCCGGAAGATTTCGCTTCCGATTCCGATTCCGGTTCCGGTTCCAACTATCAACCAAACGGACCCTTAGTCTTATGCCTGTAAATCTCAACAAAAGAAGAAGATTGAGGGAGGGGGAGGGAATGGCCATCCCCTCAAATGGGAGATTGCCATTCCACCAGGAATGGGAATGGGATTCCGATTCCGCCCAACCAAACAGTTGGAATTGGAATGGGCCATTCCGATTCTGATTCCAGACTTCCATTCCCACGAACCAAATGGGCCCTAATTCTGGGTAAGGAGATGAAGAAAAAATCTTCCCCAAACACTTGGAAAAAGGATATTAAGATAAAATTTGAGCCCAATAACAGAAATAACTTGACTCTACTTTGGCAACCTAAAGAAGTCCTTGAGAAAAACTCAACCAATTCAATCCTACTGTATTGAATGAGAATCTTAACACTGTTACACCAGTTACTAGCTGTTTCATGGTGTACCCTTAGGATCCCTGAATGTCAAGATATCTGAAGCGTGACTAATGGAGAGGTCTCCTTGAGAGGGTTTGGAGTTAAAGATTCAGCACAAAGAATACAAACAGGACTGATGAAAAACACCTATAACATCACCATATAAATAACAATTGAATAGCTCTCCCATGCCTTCTTCACCCACAAAAAAAAAAAAAAAAAAAAGAATAGCTTCCCTGATGTACCAGCTCACTGTTAAATTAATTAATAAATTTTTCTGTTACTGATCAAAACAAAAAAAGAATAGCTCCCATACCTTCAGGTTTCTTATCCTACTTTTGATGCAGCAGTAGAAAAGAGAAACAAACAGGAAACCCAAAGCTATCATTTTTGAAGACCAAAACTTGGAATTCCAACCAAAGTCAAATTAGTTACAATGAAAGCCAGGTAGATGTATTGCCAAATAATTACTTTATTCTGAATAACATCCTTCAATATAGCAGTAGTCCTTGCCAGTGATTCGCACTTCTTTTCCATTTCACTCACATGCGTTAGATGTGCAATATTCTTGTCGTCCTAAACATTAAAAAGACAAATCAGCCAAATAAGTAAATTATAAAAGGGTTTAGAAGATGAGGTTGAAAGAACAACGTAATGTCCAATGGTTAATCAATAGCACCTTCTCTGCTTGCTGTAAAGGTTTGWATGGGTTTGAAGGAGAAGGTAGGGACAGGTTTGTATAGGTTTCCCTCCTTTCTGTTCCCTTCTTTTCCCTACCTTTTTGTTCAAACCAAACACAGCCTTAAGGTATGATGGAGAAAAAGAGGAAATTGTTGTATATCGTAAAATGAGTAATTAGATAAGTGTACCTTTCGACCTTGGAGCTCCACTTGCAAATCTGCTATTTTTCTTTGTACGGTGGTTAACTCTCTCAAGACCTTTATCAAATCATCACTCTTGTCACCAGTATTGGCAGACAAGCTTTGCAGATCTTCCTACAGAAAAGTGGACAAAATGAAGTATTAGTTTCAATAATGACAAATGATCAAAGGAACCAACTCAAAATGGGGGTGAAGGATGCCGTAGCACACAAAATCCATTGCAAAGAAAATGATCAAAAATCAACAAATTTGAACACATGGTTCTACTTGAACAAAAAAGATTGGATGTGAAATAAGAAATGCAAAAAACAACAATGCGACAAAAACTATAAAGAAATTCTTTTATCAATAACAAATGATTAAAAGAGAGCTTGTAAATGATAGAAAAAACCTGCTGCTAAGTGTTAAAAGCAGAGAACAAAAACAGGTAACATATAACTGAGCAAGAACCAGGAAGTTAAGTTATCTTGCCCCTACCCCTCCCAATAGCAGTTAAGACCTCCAAACCCCTCTTCTTGCAGGAGAATCAGATAAGGCATTATCCAATCTGGGGAGCCACCTGAACAAGCCATTCAAATGAGAAGCTAGTGCTCTAGCCTCTAATTCCCAAAACTCCATTTAAAACTTTATTTGCCAGAATTTTGATGGTTTCTCTCATGAAGATAATTTTCTTCCTTTTGTCAAAAAAAGGCATTCAAATTAAACCACACCACACCATCCATCATTCTTGTCAGGATACAGCATTTTACACCATATCATAATTAGCTGACTAATAAGGGTAACAATGTAATTTGACTTTCATTTATGGAGATTTAGTATAAAAGGTAGATACCATACGTGAAATGGACCTCGCTGCTATGCCCCAATTCTCTCTTTTCTTCATTCTTCTTCCTTCTCTTGTACTCTATTTCATTTCTAAGATTACGACTTGGAATGGAGCCATCTTCAAGGACAGTCTTGACTGTCCTTCAACACAGATCATATCCACATTTAACTTCCTAAATTGTGAAACAAGACCAGGAAGGTCTGTTGATTAGGAATGATACTGTTTAAGATGGAACATATTTCTGAACATGCAGAAGTGACAATTTGAAGTCTGGCCAGTTTTGAGTTTTATGGGAGCTTTTTGCATATCTATTTTACTGCCCAACTGCTGTTCTTCATTATTTATGCTGAATTGTTTATGCAAACTGTTAAGACCCGAGTAGCAGCAGACCCAGAAGGAAGGATCCAGGCCCACTACTCGCAAAGCCCAAACTCAGCCCGCTCCAAAGATCACGCGCACCAAGCCTCCGCTGTGGTTTGTGTATCTGTATGATAAATATCTGTATGAGCTCTTGAGAAGGGCAGAACAGAATACAATAATCGTCTTCTTCTCCTATCTCTCTCTTCTCTTTCTTCTCTTATCTTATCATTTCAGGAAGGTGAGCTCCCTCGAACCAGCTCCAACTCTCTCAACTCAGTCGTGGTTCTACCAATTGGTATCAGAGCCACCGAGATCCATGGATACGCAGAGGAATCAGAAAGGAGTTCTGGCCGAGCTGAAGGTGATTTTAGACAGGCTTGGCACGATGGTTGGTTCTCTAGAAGAGCATAGTCGCTGAGCTCCTTCCGTCATCACTCATTTCGGAGAAAATGGAGGATCAAAGCTGATAGAGAGCATTGGAGAGGCAATATCGACAACGAGATCATCACCAGGCGTTGAGACTTCAACTCTAGCAACGAGCTCAGCATTGTTAGGTGACAAAATAGGGGAGGTGGTACAAAAGGGCAGTGTGAAGACTATAACCCCATCCATTGTTATCCAACTAGCTCGACCCCTGGTCCCTGTTCTCTTCCCTCTCACTCTCTCACTTAAATTGAGCATGTCCATACCCAACCCAGGTCCGTCTCAGTTGCTCAACCTCTGGTCATCATTTTCGTTGACGGCAACCATGACCCAACCCATCCAACCATGCCACCTGAAACCCGTCTTTGTCCACCCTCCAATTTAACAAATCCCTGTTCTTTCTCTTCTTCCAGGGCTCCCTAGTGACAACTACGAGTTCTAGTTCATTATTGGAGTTAGGCCTGATGGTCACAGAACCTTCGACCATGAAGATCACATTGGACGTGTGCTTGTTTCCACCAAGTTGTTACAATGTCGGCAGATTCTTTCCATCATTGACAGTGATGCCAAAATAGCTAAGGCAAACTCAATGATTTTTGGGTTTTGGTTCCAACAGGACCTCTAGACACAGGTCAACAACGAAAGGGGAAAATGATAGGTAATGGTGAGAATCCAAGCATCTTTAACATAGTCGTTGCTCACCTTGTCCATTCTAGTATCTCTAGTAGTGCCATATCCTATATCTGAGTGGATGTTGTTTTTGTGAGTATGTTCAGGCAGTTTGGAGTTGGATTAATTAGTGCTCGTCTTGTTGCTACAAAGAAGAGATTTGTCATTGTCATCATTGTCCCAGCCTCAGCTACGCTCTCACCAAAGAAGATGAATTATGAAGATTTTTGCCATATTGCTTCTGTATGTACGGAGAAAATAGGTCCAAGGTGTCGACGGTTTTTCAGCCCTTTAAATTTTATGAAGTCTGAGAAAGATAAATCTGGAAGAATTTCCATCCTGTCGTTTCACCTTTATGTGATGCACACAGTTTCCCTCACTATGGAGAGAATTGATATGAGCGAGCTTGATGAGGATTCTGATGGTTTCCTTCAGTCTCATGAAATGGAGGCCAACATTAGAGATCTTATTCCTAATCTGACACAACAACAAGGTAGGCCTGTAGCTTTTACTCAAATGAACTGCCACGTAGCTGCATGCAAATTTTTCTTCCTTTGTGATCCTCACAGGCAAGGTAAAGCATGCATAAAGAAGGAACTACTTAGTAAATGCCTCCAGGAACTCATGGAACTAAACCAGGAAAGTCAGGAAGAAGTCACTTATACTGAAAACTGGTTCTCATTGACATCCGCCCAACGGATATATGATATGTTTCTTGCTCTAGATAAAGTTCTGAATGGGACATTGAGCAAGCAGGAGCTTCGAGAATATGCAGATGGTACATTGACAGAAATATTCATGGAGCGGGCATTTGATAAACATGTTCGGCGTGGCAAAAATGGTGGTGGTGGTGGTGGTGATAATGCACGGGAGATGGATTTTGAAAGTTTCCTTGACTTTGTTTTGGCCCTAGAAAACAAACATACACCGAGAGGATTGACATATTTGTTTCGATGTCTTGATCTCCATGGAAGAGGGTACCCTACAACAGCTGATATCCACACTTTTCAAAGATGTACGTCAAAAATGGAGGGAGGGAACTACGAGCTGCGCATTGAGGACGTAAGAGATGAGAAATCAAGATTCCTTAAATTGCATTTGCAGAGAGCACAACAGCGCATGGAGTTGGCCTACCACCGCGATCACCAGGAGCTTGAATTGGCAGCTAGAGATTGGGTCTATCTGAAACTTCAGCCATATAGACAGGCATCTCTGGGCCAAAGAGCATCTCAAAAGCTGTCTCCTCGTTACTTCAGCCCATTTCAGGTGGTTGAAAGAATCAGGAGCGTAACCTATCGTCTCGACCTTCCCACCAAGTGCCAGTTACATCCTGTTTTTCATGTTAGTCTCCTTAAGCCTTGCTTATCTCCTTCTGACATAACCAGTCCCACACTCCCTCCACTCTTTGAAGTTGGTGAAGTAATGTTTAAACCACAATGGATTAGGGATGTTCGTTGGGTAAAAATCGGTAGCAAGGCCCACAAGCAGGTCCTAGTTGTTTGGGAGGGCATGCCAGAGGAGGGTGCGACTTGGGAAGATTACACCCAACCCCAGAAACGGTTTCCCACCATCGACCTTGAGGACATGGTCATTCTCGATGGGGAAGGGTATGTTAAGACCCGAGTAGCAGCAGACCCAGAAGGAAGGATCCAGGCCCACTACTCGCAAAGCCCAAACTCAGCCCGCTCCAGAGATCACGACACCAAGCCTCCTCTGCAGTTTGTATATTCCCGTCGTCCACGTCAGGTGGAATGATTGGGTTGTTAAGTTGTTAGAGGACATGCTCCATGATAAATATCTGTATGAGCTCTTGAGAAGGGCAGAACAAAATACAATAATTGTCTTCTCCTATCTCTCTCTTCTCTTTCTTCTTCCTCTCTTCTATTATCATTTAAGGAGGGTGAGCTCCCTCGAACCAGCTCCAACTCTCTCTCTCAACTCAGTCGCGGTTCTACCACAAACAGTGTGTCAGGTGGTTGTTTATGTATTAGAGTTCCTGATAGTTTTCTAGGAAACTAAGTACATAGCATTGTTTACAACTTGAGTATCAGTCCAGTCATTACTTCTACCATTGAAATGTTGTAGTCTTGTTCTATCTTTTGATGTTCTGGAGTACTGCACATCTGTCTGTCAGCTACAAGTACACATGGCTGAATTGAGTGATTCAACAGACATGGCTACTAGCTCCAATCTCAGCCCAAATGTTTTGTTCAGACTCTTGACAGGCCGATGTAAAGATTACAACTGTAAAGTTGAATGAGAACTCTCTAGAGTTGTCTCAGTCAGTGAGGATGTTCATAAGAGGATAAAAGAAGTTTGGGATCTATCAATGAAACAGTCAAAAAACCAGAAGAATCCCCAACGAAGTAAACAGAACAATGGAAGCAATCATAGAAAGCATCACAATAAAAGTGGTGCATTGGGTAAAGACATTGGACATATTCAAGGACTTTCACAGTGGATGATTTTGTAAGAACTTGGGGAGTGATAGCTGCTTCTTTATCAATCAATCACCAAGTCCGGGAAGAATGGAAACCTCCTACTAACAGCAGGGTAAAGCTGAATATTGATGGGAGCTCACAGTGGAACCCAAGTCCCTCTGGGAATGGATGAACAAAGAGGGATGAAAATGGATTGATTTTGGCTTTCTTCTTGGGAGGGATTCGGTTTGAGGCTCGTAAAGCAGCTAACATCAGAGGAGTGGAGGTTGGAGGGATTCAAAGCAAGTAATATCTAGTAAAATGAACCCATTTCTTCTTTCTTAGTCCCTTCAGCTTCCACTTCGGGCTTTGGTTGGAACCTTGGCCTGCGTAGRGCAATTAGGGATACGGACTTG